CAAAAAAAAAGGTGCATGATTAAGTAGCTCGAAACACCGGAAACAACAACCGGATAAGAGTCATTGGAAGAGCCTTATCAGTTCCATTAAACAGGGAAGGTTCCACACCAGTCTGGGACCATTATTAAGCGCGAGCATAAAGAAATCCACTTGTCTTTTGACGGGGGGAAGTGAAGCCATGCTAATGACTCCAACTGACCATCTTCTTGTCAGATAGAATTACGATATAAAAATTCTTGTTAAGTGCATCGTTCGTGAGTCGAATTGTCAAAATCTCTTCGGAGTCATTGGGTCCTTTAACGTGTACATAAATGGATGGTTTCTTCACTAAATTTGTCTGCATTTCCATCCATAAAAAAGAGGGGATAGAAGCGAAACAATTTAAAATGGATAATTTTCTGGTCATTCGGGATGACCAATTTTATTATCTCGTTACTAAGGCTTCAATATTATTTCACCCCATTAAAAACATCGCCTTATTTTTGATAATTCTTGATAAGTAAAAGCGAAATTGTTTATCTTAAAATGTGGAATGATGAAGAAAATTGATGTTCCAATTATTTTAAATTGCTTTATTCTACTTTTTTAATCGTCACGAACAGGTTTGTGCCGTTCTTTCGTGACGATTAAAACTTAGGATAAATCTTTGAAAAAAATAATAAATTTTTAAAGTTTTAATTGTATTTTTTAAACTTTAATTAATACTGATTACAGAGAATTTTATTTAAAAAAAAAGGAATCACTTAACAACGAGTTGGATTATTAATGAGTGAATTGCATTTGGGAGCGTGTAAATAAGGAAAATATGAAAATTCTGTCAAAAGCTCCCCTGATTAATTTCCTAGTAAATTATTCTTCCCCCTTTTGACTTTGTTATGTTAATAATTTTGATAGAAAAGGAGAGCAATGAGCATTTTCGACCCTCCTCAACATTGCTTACTATCCGAAAACCACTTTGCATACGTTGATGTAAATCATAATTCGACTTCTACGCCCATGAAAATATAAAGAATATTATCTTTTCTTTAGAAATTATACAACCATTTATAAAGAGAAAGAGAAAGAAAAAAAGAGCAAACATGTCTAGCTGTCGAGGAACGATCGTCTTCCAACTGTGAAGAGGATCGAGACGATGTCAATTCTTGACCGGGGTGAGAATAAATCAAGGAAATTCTACCCTTATCCAAATCACGTAAACTAAATGAACACGTGCGAATTCCGTCTCCAACAGGTTGTCGTAAATCTTGTTAAATGTCTTCTCCCACTTTCTTCAATTTTTCTTTTCAAATATTGGGATCATCTTGATCTTGAAACATGTTAAAATCGACAGAAAAATCTGTCAAAAATTCTAAAAATTTCTTATATTTTTCCTCTTTAGTAACCAATTTTTAGGTTGTTAACAGAAGGAAACACTTCTAAACACTCCTTTAGTGGTGCTCTATTTTTGCAATCACCAAGGGATTCTCGGTTGAGCCACCAATTAAGACACTTTAATTGTCGAAATAATTTAAATTGTGCTAAAAATTTAATTAAATTTATGAAAAAATAAACTATTTTTTAGACATTTAAAACTTAATTTAAAATTATGAGCAGTGAATTCAAGGTTAAAAAATGCTCTGAAGGTCCATCTGATGATGCCAAGTCTTAAATGAAACCAATTAATCTCTCGAGTTTCTATAGGAAAAAGTAATAAATTAGGTACATTTTTTTTCTTTTTTTTAAATATTTTTAATCATTCTAAAAGCTAGAAATCCAATTGTAAAAGAATATATAAAGGAACATTTTTAGAAAGTATCAATAAAAGATGAGGCAGAAGAATTGCATTTTCCGAGAGAGAGACTTAAAATATAAATGGAGCTACCTTCTAACATATTCCATCTTTTAAAAATATTGGTACGTCTCGAATGTCTGGACGTATGGAAGAATGCTTAACATGGTCCTCTTCTTCTCAGAAACTAAAAGAATTGTAGAAAAATGGGTCGAGTCTAGAAGAGAATAGAAGGGCTTTAACCCGTTCTTAACCTGTTTTAATCATTTTGTATGATAATTTAATATATACGTATATAATTGTATTGTAGAATATTCTATCGTATAATAAAATTAATGCTAATTTATACGGCATAGAAAGGGTAAATTGTTAGTAAACTTTTACGAGGATATTCTTTTCTGTAGCGTGTGCCTGAAGGGTATCGATGTTATCTCTCGAAAGAAATTCCGCATTAATATGAGTGATTGCTGTGTTTGCCTGTTTAAAAACCAATTCTGGCTCCTCTAAATCGAACGAGATTGCAAATCAAATCGAGTTGGAGGTTTTCCCTCCGTTCGTTCCACCTAGGTTCCTCTGGCTGTCATATATTGTTTGTTCTTATTTGTTAGAAGGTTTTACAGCTATAAAATGAGGACTCTAAGTCATCCTAAGTCTCCCTTCTTTATTACAATTTAATGATATAAAAGGGCCTAGGTAGGATTTTTCTTATTCATTACTAAGACCACGCGTAAATCCTTCCAGTACAAGGTGAAGCTCTATAACAATATTATTAAAACCCATCTAGGCCCTTTTAAAACGTTAAATTGTGAGAGAAAAGTAGAAGGAATATAGATTTTCCTCTGTTCCTTCCGTCCAGTTTCCTCTAGATGCTAGTTCTCACAAATAAGGCACTATGTAACGGTTATAACAAGCGAAACACTCGTAAACCTTCATTAAATACGAAGTTAGAATCAATCTAGACCCTTTTTTATTATATATTTGTACATAATTTACAATAAAAAGGGCTTAGGTTGGTACAAGATTGGTCAATTGAAGCTAGATCAGAAGGCCTTGTTCTCGAAGGCTTTATAGACCCCTTTTTATTATTAAAATTAACCGTATAAAAGGCCTTTCTAAGCCTTAAAATAAAGGATTTTTATGGAGAAGAAAGTAAAAAAATTCGTGCAGTAATTAAGGATAATAACCGACATACGGAAATAATTGAAAGGACCTTCTGTAGGAGAAATTCCTATCAAAATTGATTAGGTGCATTGTACGTCTAGAGATTGATCAAACCGATAACAAATGATAACGAATTGACCCATCAAGCATTGTTCATTGATTGACACGTCATGTCAACCTTGTTCGTCTGGCCGATTCAACTAAACAGGTCGGGTAAGTTCACATCACTTTAGATAAACTGCCAGATATCACGAAATGGTTGTTAGAAATGTTGTTGCGGCTATTACACACTCGTGTTTAATGTTATTTCGTGTACTCCGAGGCTGATATCGACGAGACCCGACTGTCGTAAAAGAAATTCTTACATACTCTACCCCCCTGAATAGGGGGTTTTCCCTATCCTATCCACCATTCAGCCGAACGGGGGTGGACAGGAGAACCTTCTGTGCTTCCAACCCTGCCGTGTTTCTTGGTATAGAAGAGTTGATGTGGGTTTATTTTGCGCATAAATTAAGAAAGGAGTTTAGAATTGGGGAATTTTACATAAAAATTCAAGTTTAAGGGGGTGTTTTTTTGAAATTTTGCAGTTTAAAGCGAGCTCCAACGTTAGTTAATTTATAGATGAAGGATTTAGACAGGGCAAACACTTCAGTGTGTATAGAAAAGTTTGACGAATACTTAAATTACCCCTTTAACTTACAGACGAACGGTTAAGAAAGGGTGAGAGTTGTATACGTCAATTTAATATTTATAAAAAAACAAAAGTTTGAGGGGGTAACTTCGAAGGTAGTTACACTAAAAACAAAAAGTTTAGGACAAGAAAATGCGTGTACAATAAAGCTAACAACCCAACAACTTCTAAGAAAAAAAAAAGAGAGAGTATTGAGTACATAGCAGTGTTAAAAAAAAAAAAAGGCACAGGATTAGAGTCGCCTTTATGTACGTCACGTATATCGGACCCCATAAAGAAAAGATGACAATAAATCCTAACAATGGAAGAGAGATATTGGCATGAGACGTCACCTCCTAGCACTTGCTACGAAGTCGAAAGCCTTTTCCCTTTCGTCTTTCGTCCCCCCTTAAAGCTAGGGCGTTGTCTCCGAGCATCGAGACCCACCCAAAAATGGATTTCCTATTCGATTCGTAAATGGAACCAACGCCTTACAAAAATCAGTACAGTTGCAAAAATCAATCACGAATTCACCCCCCATTTTTTTTATTTTAATCTTATAAATTGTACGGAGGGGGGGTCGACGCGAGCGTAGAGAGATAGGGGGGAAGTTCGATGATGTAAAATTGCCGCTAAGCATGATGGAATGGTACCTAAAAGTATCGACACAGGCGCAGCCTTCCCCGGAGGTCATCAGGTACGTTTGTGTGTAGTAGTGTGTGTTCTTTCTTTTTTTTTTATTATTTAATTCATTTTTCTTGTTGTGTTTCTGATTGTCAAACTGGTTTTGGCTCATTCTTGACATGTGCACTCGCTTTAAAGGTGCTGTTTACGACCGCAGACGAGCAACACCTGTTGATATGAAGGGAGGTTGTCGTGTTAACTAATCGTTTCTCGATTATTATAATTATAAATTATCTAATAACTAGATAAGACAACGTAGTTTTTTATTGCCTTCTATTCGTCTAAATGTTTTCTACATCTAAAAAACTGTATTTCGAGCTCAAATTTTCATTAAAATCGATGCTTTTTCATACCAATTGCGTGGGTGGGTTCGAGATCTTTGTCATTTTTCCACCAGTAGACAATTTTTTGACAGTTTTCAGGCTTTTTTAAAAGATTTATGCTGTTTTTAACAACCAATTGAGTGGAAGAGGTTAAGATAGTGGAGATAAACCTCATTTAGAAAGGCTGTAAAATTGCTAAAATAATCAAAACAAGCAGAATTTTTATAATTTTAGAGGTTTTTTGGATTACTTCTTATGTCTTTTAAATATGCATTTGAATAGGAGAAAGGTAAAATAATGTAAAAACTCCTGTAAAATCTTCCAAAATAATAAATAAAAAAGTCTGGAGAAGGTCCATAAAGTTACAAATCAATAAAAAAAAAAGTAGGCTCACCCTCTTTCGTAATGTTTTTAAAGGATTTTGGATTAATTTTGTGCCATTTTTTTTAAGGAAAACTTTTAATATGCAATTGTGTGAGACAGTCGAAAACATTTCCTATTCTCTTAAACCTCTGGAACATCTCCTAAAACCTCCGAAAATCCTCTTTTGGCTGAAAAGAAAGGGGTAAATTCGTTCTTTTTGATATATTTTTTTTTGAGAATTTTTAAGGATTTTAAAGTATAAAATCAAGTGAAAAGTATATAAATTTTACAAGAAACTATACATTTTTCTAATTTCCGAAAAACTATTGAAAAATCTCACTTCATCTCTTCTTTTTTTAAGACTAAAATGGGATCCTCGAATAACATTTTATCATTTACAGGTACAGTCGACCCCCTATAAAACTGTTGATTATTCCGTGTTATATAAATTTCATGTTGTACGAGTCACTTAGATTTTACAAATACGTGAGCAGTTCACAGTCCAGCACACGTATTTGTAAAATCTAAGTGACTCGTACAACATGGAATTCATATAAAACGGAATAATCAACAGTGTTATAGGGGGGTCGACTATATAAAACTTGATCTTTTTTCGATTTATCTTGGCAATTTTTAAAGAACGAAGCAACAAAAATTATAAATTCAAGAAAGTATAAACATTTTTCGAATTCTAGAAGCTAAACAAAGGAGAATTCAAGGCTCTCATCTGTCCTTTCGAAGGCTAAATCAAAGCCTTGAATTTTGTTCAATGCTGTTGAAAATAATACTTTAACCTTTATTCTTATAGTATTGACTACTTTAATACATAAATTTTGAGTAATTTTGACTTCAAAAAACGTCGAAAAAATTTCATTTTGTGGAGGACAAAGTCTACTTTTCAGATTCGACTTCCGAGTCTGAGGTTTAACCCATTTTATTTTATTTTTTTCTCTATAATTTAACTACAACTTTATCAATTCTGGTTTCTATCAAAGGTCGAGATAGCGTACAGACATACAGAACGGACTTATAAGTTAAGACAATCGTGTATAGGGATCAAAAAATGAGATAGGTGAGGTGAAAAGTGCGAACCTTGGTTGTGAGTGACAGCTCATTAGGCGGTTCCTGACATTCAATGGACAAGTATGTAAAGAATCGGAACAGGGGATGAAGAAGGACGTGTGTTGCAGCCTTTGCATTCTCAGCCAGTGACTGGACGGTGCAAAGTGCGAAGCGAATGAAGGATTTCCGTTTTTCTCAGACGTTCACGAGGAAGAAAACAACTCTACACCCCCTTTAATTCTCTACCTGTAATACGAGAATGTGTAGGCAAACAATTCGTGTTATAAATCAAAAAAACTGTCGGTCTAGCTTTATGCATTTATTAAAATTTCAGTTTCAAAAACTTCTCTAGAAATCCTCTCCAGTGATTTATTTAAGACACGATCGTTAACAGTAAAGTATTTAATAATCTGTCAATAAAATGTATGGAATTTTTCTTCAGGGTTTCGATGATAAACACTAAATTACAGGTTCTTCTGGTATCTTGTATGTAAATTAAGATTTATTTTCTTCATATTCCGCATACGCGTGTCTTTTTAAAGGCTTTATTGCCTGTTTGTGAGGGATTTATCTACAAAGTACACTCACTAATCGAGTCGTTAAGTCTAAATTCGAATTCCAATCCACAAAAATTCCCCTTTTGGATCCAAAAAAATTAGATTTTTAGAAGAAAAATATAAACCGAATGCCCAAAAATTAGGAAATGTAGCGTAAGGAAGGGTATTAAATACTGGAATTTGTCTAAAAAATAGTATTTTTACATATTTTCTAAACAATTTATTCAAAAAATCAACTCGTAGGCCTACTACTTAACACATTCTAAACACTAAAAACACAGAAAACACGCATCAAACTCTAAAGCAAAAAAGCATTAATTTAAAGTAAAAATATAATGAATTAAAACAAGTTTACAGCCTCAAAAACAAACCGATTTCTCCGTAATCAAATGAATTATAATGCATTTAACCTCGGGTCATATATAAACACTTAAACAATAAGTAAGGTTGTACACACTCCTAAACTCTAAAATTTTTTGAATAAGGAAACATTTAAGGTTTCACTCGTAGACGTAAGAAAAGGCCATCGTTTAAACTAGACGTGGGGTCAGCGCACAAATTAAAGAAGGGTGCATTGTTTTTTTTTTATTAGAAAGGTAAAGCGTCATTCAGGTTTATGGCCATATAAAAAATGCAAAACACGTTCCTTAATATGGTGTTTAAGTACCCTATTGTGTAGTGACAGCATAGGGCACAACTTCTCTACTTCTTTCTTCACCTGTCCACTGTCAAAAGCAGCTGTCTATCAAAATTCGTTTTTAATCCTTTACTACTTCACCTACGTGTCATGGTGTAATCAAAGAAGTTTTTTCCTCAAAGAAAACGAGTAACGTAACTCCACACTTAAATAATTCAATTTTTACATTCTACTTTAATGTTTTTTTTTTTTTAAATTTAGAATCTAAAATAAGTTTATTAAATTAATTTATAATTTATTCAAGAATTTAACATCTTGTAAATTGCTTCGAACAATAAAAACCTGTATAACTACTTTTCTGTGTCGCCCTGTTTACAGTTTATATAGTAAATATGTAAACTGTACGTATACGTCACTAGTTTTGACCCCCCTGTAACAGCTCGGATGCATTGATACATGTAGACAGCATCCCTCTTCTGTGCTAAGTGCGCGTGGACCCTACTCCTACGCTAGTGTTGTGGTGGTGTGACGAAAATTGCGCGTAGAGATCGATCCGGGGAGGGTGTTTTTAATGATAGAAGTGATACAGGATGGCCAAATGGGTGTCCATTGAGAGTACAAGGATACAATTACTAGTAAGAAACGGGTAAGCAAAGCACTCACCGTTTCTCTCCTTGGCTACGGCGAAACAACTTAAGCTACATCAACACCCCACTAGACACGAGGTAGAAGAATGGCGAAGGCGTGACTAGCGGGGTGTGAGTGGCAGCGTCGCCATGGCGACGGCTCCCCGTTTCCACCAATAGTAGAGTGGCGCAAACGATCTCGGCGAAATTTATAATGTTGTACCCAGAGTATCGGACGGGAAAGGTGTGTGTAGAGGGACGAGAGACGTCTCCGTGTGATGCACATACTAAACTGCACATAAACAGTCGCGTGCAGTTACCCCAATGATTGTAGGCTCTATGTCAGATACTACAGCATTGTCGCAACTGCAAGCTGTCAATTGTGTCGTGCCACCTACCACTTGTCCCAATGTTGGACCCTCGTCGCCTACGCCCATGTTACCGTCTTTCGGTTTCACCCAAGAGCAGGTGGCCTGCGTTTGTGAAGTCTTACAACAATCGGGCAACATCGAGAGACTCGGACGATTTCTCTGGTCCCTACCTGCCTGCGAGCATTTACAAAAGAACGAGAGCGTCCTCAAGGCCAAGGCTCTCGTAGCCTTTCATCGAGGTAATTTCAAAGAACTCTATCGAATTTTAGAGAGTCACAACTTTTCGCCCGCCTCCCATCCTAAACTTCAGGCTCTATGGTTGAAAGCTCACTACATAGAGGCGGAGAGGTTGAGAGGTAGGCCCTTGGGAGCCGTGGGCAAGTATAGGATCAGAAGGAAATTCCCGCTACCTAGGACTATCTGGGATGGAGAAGAAACTAGTTACTGCTTCAAAGAGAAATCACGTAATGTGTTGAGGGAGTGGTACGCTCACAATCCGTACCCTTCTCCTCGAGAGAAGAGGGAATTGGCGGAGGCCACTGGGCTCACCACCACACAAGTCAGCAACTGGTTCAAGAATCGAAGGCAGAGAGATCGAGCGGCAGAAGCTAAAGAAAGGTAAGAACACTACAAACACCTAAATCCGCGTCTAGGCCAACAGATAACCTCACACCTCTCTCCTTTAAGCCTAATTTCCGTAAATTAACACCACAAGCCTACACATACACACACACCACTCTTCGATAGATCACTAATAAATTGAGGCACGGACACAGGCTATTATGCATTTATTATGTTAATAAATCGGCACTGAAGTATGGAGTTTCGTAACGGTCGAGGTAGTTTACTTCTAAATTGAAACAAAACGGGGGTGTTTAGAAGACGAGAATTGATTTAAGAGGGACATTGTACGAGTGAGAATTCCAGAACAGACTGAGTTGGCAGTCTACAAATAGTTTAGACCCACGCATAACTCTTTTTATTCGAGCGACTCCTCAACGTAACTACGACTTGAAAATAGAAGAGATGATTTAGACCCTCTAAAGACGTAATTTTATTTTAAAATGTAACTTATTACAGTTTTTAAGTAGAAGAAGAGAGCGAGAGAAGAGGGAGGGAGGACGTTGACTAAGTTTTTCCAGAGGTTATAAATAGATGAGATCAGTCAAAAGGACTTTTATTCAATGGCTAAACCTATTCTTGGCTCGGGACTATTTTCGAGGAATTATTAGTCACAGGATAGTCAGCAAAGCCTCAAAAGATAAGTTAAACTCTTGGCGGATGTTGGAATAATTTGGAGGAAGCGCAGGATGCATCGTGTGTGTTAGAGTGATGACGAAATTTTCAGGCTTTTGTAACCACAAATGTGGCTAGATACTACAAAAATCGTTAAATTTTTAACAGAATTGCTTAGTTTATTTATATATTTATAGGCCCTACATTAAGTTAAAGGTATGCTACACTAACTTTCAGGTGTCTTGTATAATAAGATAAATAACCGCTTAAGAAATCTGCTACTGAATTCCTACAGTAACGGGTTTTCTCCATTCAAAATAATTCCGTTTATAGGCCTTCTATGTATTGTATAATACCCGGTTGCAGCTTATTTATGTTATGATATAGTAGTTTCTAAATACTCTACGTGTAATTTGAGGCCATTAAACTGTTTGTATTTAATGTAATTGTGTATCTATTAGAATCCTACTATAGGAGTATTTTCTTATAGTCCTACGTGAACGTTCTACAGAACTCGCAATCTAGTGTAGTCCTATATCATAGTTTAGTATAGACTTACACGAGTTTGCCTTCTATAGTCTCTGAGAGTCCTATTTTAACACCATATTCTCATAATTTGGATGCTTGTATAAGGCCTTATATATTTATGACAGTCTGGATAATTGTCACAGTATATTATAATTGATTTTTCATAGTCCAGAGAAAGTTTCTCATAGTCACGAAGTCACTTTTATCTAATGAATAATGGTAAATTCTCTTGTTCTTCCAGAACCTGGACTCGTGAGTGCGGGTTGTATTTAATTTACAATACAAACGTTCGAGATTTTCGATATTATAACCTTCTAAAGTTTAATTATTGATACGAAATTTATCGTTTAAACACAACACATATGTCACACTTCGGAATTAGATCCCATAAACAAACATAAAGTCAACGTTCACGTTACTACCCCCTTATCTATCGAAAGTTAACATTATTAGGAGGCTTGAAAAAAGGCATTAAGAGGCCCCTTAACTCATTACTAGTGCCTTTAACACAGTTAAATCGAACCTACTTAACTTTGGAGGCCTTAGCGCCCTCCTAAAAGCTTTATTTTTATACGCGTAAGGCCGCGTATTATACCCGATCACGGGCCCTAAAGTGATCGGAATTTAAAACAGATCGAATTAACTTAAAAGTTTACAATTACAGGTGAAAAAAAATAAACTTATAATTTTAGTTCAAAGACCCTGAGAGGGACGGGTTGTAGAAAAGTAGGGGAATGGTCAAGTTCCACACGTTGAACTCTACAAATGTTTAGCTTAGAATCGCCCATCTGGAGTGTCTGCAACAGATTCGATAGGTCGTGTGTAGGATTTATTGGCGGTTTCATTCTTTGCAGTAGGTGCAGCGGACAAATAATGCACATGCGGAAATTACACACGCGTTAGATAAGAGGTCTTTAATAAAAGAACACTCGCCGACCGTATCAGATTTTGCTGATGATGATGATGAGTCGTGTGTTTTGCTTCCTTATTGTCTAACATCTCTTTTTTGTCACGTGTCACTCTATTTGTTTTTGTGTGTTTTCAGACAAGAATTTTTTTGAAATTGGCCTCTATTTTAGAAGGGTGAGTTAAGGTGAACGGAGAAATTCGTCTTTTTTTTTAGATGTTCTCCACAAAAATTGATCAATTGTACGGAAGCTTTAAAGCGAGAATACCATTCGAGATCCATAAAAAGAACCGTTTTAGATTGATAAAACGGATTTTTATAGCTCTGTTTACAAATAATTTACTGTTTAGACCTGTTTTATTTGAAGTTCTTGGCGTTTATGTATTACAAAATCGGCCATTATCAATGTTATTACGCATCTTATTTGTTGTAGCCTACTTTTAGCTTTCGACACCTCGACCCTGCTGAACCATATTCTTAAGAAGATACATTTTAGATACACAAACTATAAATAAATTCGTTCAAATTTCATATATTTGGGCTAAATTTACGCAAATTACACTCGTACTTCAGTGCAGTTTACTTTACGTGCTGTAATTTCCCAACATGCAAAATCTTTCAGACAGAAAATATTATTGTGAGGGTCTTTCGTGTATTACTGACCCTGTATATAAGCAGAGTATGAGTTACCAACTGCAGTGTATCATGAGTACTAAGGATCTCTTAGGGTAGTTGTAAGATAGATCCTGAAGGGTATCTGTGGAATTCTTATTGCTATATTGATAGATATATTCTGCAACTTAACCTGTATAGTTGTAGAATAGATCCCTAATAAAACAAGGATCTGTAGCGCAGATAAAGGATAGATCCTGATATATCAAGAGGCTTTGTATGCTTGTAGACTAAATTACACTTATATCAAGAGTCTCTAGGATAGATCCTGAATGTAATAAGGATCTCTAATAGATCCTGGATTATCAATCCTTTGTATAATTGTATTATACATCATACTTATTTCAAAAGTCTATAGTGTAGTTGTAACATACTCTATAACAAGTGTCTCTTGTGTTAGTGTTACGTATAGCGAATGTCTCGCGTAAGTACAGTATAAAACTTTATATAATTTAAATACTGTTATTCTAGCTTGACATTTCCATTGTAATTTTTTACATCTCCAACACTCGAAATCTTTTTAAAAAACATTTTAAGAAAAATGACGATCTTTATTTTTCTAGAAAACCACAAAGTTTGATACTTCTAAGAAATGAAAAACCGAATAACTCACACGTTCCTGGAATAGTTATGGGAGGAGGGGGAGGATTTAAAGCTTGCAGAAAGAACAACAAACATAAAAAAAATTCCCAATTGATCCTGTATCTAATCAAATTTCTAGTATAGAGATTTATACAAGTGCGTGACTATATTCACACCCCACTTACAAAGAGTAGAAGTTTTCACGGTCCAAAACCTCACCCATTTGGCTGTGCAGAGTTCACTAATGACTCGAGCAGATTCAAAGGGTCGGTCTCTAACCCACAAGGTTACATAAATCGCTTGGCTTTCTCGTCAAGTTCTAGTTATCGCCATGTAAATACAAACAGCGCGAAACATGTTTATGAATCATGTTTTTTACCAGTTTAAAGATCTTTCTAGGAAATATCCTCTTCTCTACTCTCTCTCTATATATACACATACATAATTGCTCCTTCTCCAATCTCTCGTTCTCTCTACGTGTATATAATTGCACGTTCCGTGACGTAATTATTAAAATTCCCTTTCGTGTTACGTTTTTCCCTAATTAAAAGTGGTGAAGATTAATTGCTTTCCCCTCTTCTTCTTCTTCATCATCATCTTCTTCTTCTATTACATTTTTTTTAATACTCTTTCTCGATTGTTTCGTGAATTCTTTATGGCTTATAGTTTTAAAATTTTTATTACTTTGCCCGTCACGAATTTTTATATATTTTTATTATGCAATTTTGTTTCACGTAGGCGTCTTTTGTTGCTGCTCTTTATTATTTTGAAGGTCTTAAAGGGTCTTAAATGTCGTTAAAGACTTTACAAATTTTATATAATTTCTGTTTTTTAGTATTGGTACTTAGTATACCCTCATATTTTTCCCCAAACTGGCGGAGGAAATGAGGATTTCTATGTACTTATACCACTAAAAAAACAGAGTATTTATGCTACTAGAAACCCTCCCTATACTACCATTTCTACATACACTGATTTTCTCCCTTTAATATAAAGGAAATGAGGATTTTTAGTAAGAAAAATATCTTTAAAATAGACCCAAATGTACAAGAAAATGGCACTAGATAATACACAAGTGACAAGCTCTAAAAATTAGACAAAATTAGAATAATTAAATATATTTTTAGAGCTTATCTCTTCTCTATCATCCCTACAGGATACCATTTAGTAGAAACGTTATAGAAATACGCTAATTTACTTTCAATTTTTAAGTATAAACTGGGATTAACAAACGTATTGACGATATTTTTTAACAATTTAAAACGATAATGGGAATACAAAACGAAATCTCCCCATAGATTTACCATTATCGTGACGGAACTACAAACGGACGTACCATTTAATTAATTAATTTAAGGGATTAGGAGGTGTTTATCGCTTGAAATACCTTGTAAAATCACGTTTAAATGCGTATTATCTTAATTAAAAGTAATCATACGTACAAGGGGGTGGTTATGAAGACGTCACAGTTATGAGAAACAGAATTAGATGTATCATGAATTATGAAAAATATTCATAAACAAACTTTAGGACGTGAAGACACTCCCCGAACATGTTTAGAATTGAATGTAACTTCAAAAGGGTGGGGTCAGAGTTGTTAACACAGACTCGTTCTCTAGTCCAAGCCGCAATCTTACACAAGGATGATTTATTTTCTCAAAACAATATTTTCGGTTAATAAAAATAAAATACT